TCGAACACGAGCGAAGGATGTCACTTACTACTTTTGAAAGAAATGAGCGACCACGATCAGTCAGCAGCTGTCCAGGAGCGCCATGGTGAAGAATTACGTCATGAAGCAAGAAGTCCGCGATGTCAGTGACACAGCTTGTCGGTCAGTGACACAGCTTGTCGGTAGCGCTCGTGTGATAGCGTATCTTGTGGCGTAACCAGTGGATACGGCTATCCACTTGTTTCCAGTGAGAGAAGTAGGAAATGGTCCAACGAGATCAAGACCGACGCGGTAGAAGGGAACGGTGGGTATGTCTATTGGTTGGAGCGGACCAGCTGGTGGCAAGGTGGAATGTTTGGAACGCTGTCAGGACTTACATGCAGCAACGTATGGGCGCACAGAACGGTAAAGGCCTGGCCAGAAGAATCTACACCCCACGCGATCGTACGTGCGCGTGACCCCGAGATGTCCCGCGTTTGGGACGTCGTGAAGCTGTTCAAATACAGCGGAACGGAGTGTCGCAGGAACTACGAGTAGTAGCTCTGGTCTTTCGGCGCTGGTGTTGCATCGGTAAAGAATGCGATCGCATAGAACAAACAAGTGTAGCGACGGGTCTACGTGGGGCAAGCGTAGACTCTGCATGATAGACCGCAAGTGGACATCGCTGAGCTGTTCCTTGCGTATGTCGGTGAAAGCCGACATGGCGAAGACACAAGGGTCAGAATCATGTGCTGAAAGGTCATGTGGGTCCACGGGGTGACGGGATAGACAGTCGGCATCCTGGTGCATTAGGCCAGATTTGTATGCCACATCGAAGCTGTATTCTTGTAGTTTCAAGGCCCAACGACCAAGTCGTCTTGTTGGATCTTTAAGGGACGACAGCCAGCACAAGGCATGGTGATCTGTAATTACCGAAAAGGTGCGGCCAAACAAGTATGGTCGAAATTTTCCGACTGCCCAGACTATGCGAGGCACTCACGCTCTGTAATGGAAAACTTGCTCTCCGAAGGAGAAAGGAGGCGACTGGCATAAGCAATGACGCGATCCTGTCCTCGTTGCCGCTGGGCGAGAACAGCACCAATTTCATGTCCGCTGGCATCGGCACGAACTTCAGTATGGGCTGACGGGTCGAAATGGACCAAGATGGGTAGGGAAGTAAGTAATGTTGTAAGGGTGCTGAAGGCAGTTGCTTGGTCAGTACCCCAATAAAAAGGCATGTCCTTCTTCAGTAGCTCCGTAAGTGGTTGGGCAATGTCAGCAAAATTCTTCACGAAACGTCAAAAGTAAGAACAAAGGCTGATAAAACTCCGTACATCTTTTGCGGAACGTGGTATGGGAAAATCTTTGACAACTCGAATTTTGTCAAGATGAGGTTGCACGCGTCGAGCGCTGACAAGGTGGCCAAGCACAGTGATTTCCCGATGGCCAAAGCGACATTTGGAAGAGTCGGGTTTATCAATTTAAGGTAAGTCTGGTCACTTGATGAGCATTAAATGCTTAATAAAAACCACTGAAATTTTTTGGTTTTATGAGAAAGCAAGAATTTCAATTAACAATGATGTGTGACCCGAGAAATCTGCTCCAAAACTAAATTTGATGCTCCAAAATCTTCAAAAGTCTCTCCAAAGTCCATGATGCTCCAAAGTCTTTTTGTGCTCCAGAGCTCCTCCAAAGCCCTCCAGAGGTCCTCCAAGCTCTCAAAAAAACTGAGGCCCGCTTCCACCCCTGAACAGGAAACGAGGGCTCCATGCTGATGCTTAGCTCTTACTATACATGCCGAATTCGATCATGAAGGGGGAATTCGAAATTCCTACGGACGCAACCATTTGCTATCCGCTTTGTCAAGCAACTATGAAAGGGGTCACGTGTGCGCACATGCGCGCAACTTATGCACAGTGGGGTGGCGTGTGCAGTGTGCATCCACCTGTGCCTTCAGTACACAACCTAGTCCTTGCTAGTGTAAGCTGGTATTCTTTGTCTTCCTTGCGATCTGCGCACGACGCATCTCTGGTTCAGTTTTTCTGTGTAGTGAGAGGTCTGTACTACGGACGCTTCTGAATATCAACCAAGATGCCCGGCCCAAAGAAAAGCAAATCTCCGTTGCTGGAGAGAAAAGTCGCATTAATCAAGGAAGTCGAAAAAGCAGGTCAAAGCAAGTCGTGCATTGCCAAAAAATTCGACATCTTGTTGTCAACCTTCTCGACAGTACTGAAGAACAAAGAAAAGGTTTTGGAAGGCTTTAAGCAAAATTCTTAAGCAAGCAGAAGCGCATTCGAGCTTCCACATTCCCAGATGTCGAAGCAGCACTTCTGTTGTAGCTCCAAAACTTTCGAGTAGCTAATCTTCCCGTTACAACCCAAATGATGATCGAAAAAGCAGACATTTGGCACCGCAGATGGGTAACCGTACAGCTACAGCAATGGTTGGTTCGAGTGGTTTAAGGAGTGAAATAACATGTCGTCGAAGCCTATCCATGGTGAAAGTGGCATTGTTTACGAACAGGCTGCTAGCGCATGGCGCAGCATACGCCTCGCTAAGCTGCAAAAGGAGTACGTAGACAAGGACATTTTTAACCTCGATGAAGCCACTCTCTTTTACAAGATGCTGCCAAACCGCACATACACACCAGAAGGTGAAGCGTGCTCAGGTGCCGAGCAATTCAAAGACAGAATATCCATTATTTTTTTTACAACGCTACCGGCAATGAAAAGCTGCCCCTTCGGATTATCGGCAAGTCACTGAATCCCAAGTGTTTTGGAGGTGGCGACCAGACATGGCCTGACAGCCCTCGCCACTTAGGAAATTGTCAGCTGCCTTAATAAAGTTGTTTACTACTACTATCACCAAGTGTTTTCGAAATGCATGGCTACTGAGGGATGTGACCTACCGCGCAAACAAGACGGCCTGGACGACAGCGAAGCTTTTTGAAGAGAACGTTCTTGCGCTCGACCAGCAAAAGGCAAAGGACGGTCGAAAAGTGTTGTTTGTTGTGGATAAATGGAACAATTGACAACTTGGTGGCTTTTATGCTGGAGTTCCTGCCCGTGAACACGACATCCATTCTCCAGCCAATGAATCAGAGAGTCATTGAGATGGCCCGGTTAAATAAGAAAAAAGTCTATAGACTTCAGGCGTGGCAGCATCGCACGAGTCTTGTGAAGTAGTTCGGCGGTGCCATTTTCGTTCCACTCGCAGTCAAGATTTCGAGTTATCCACAATCTGATCCAAAATTACTTCAAGATAAAGAGTAAAATATACATGGGATGTAGAGGAAAATGTTCGTTGCCGCAGAAACTTTCAACGTAGCCTTTGTCGAGATATGTGAGTTTGAGCTAATGAGGTATTACTGCAGCTCTCTCGTGCAGGGGAGCTTTTCCTGCCAGCACTGGCTTTTCTTTTACCTGGGCAAACATTTTTGGCGTTTTGCTTAACTCGAAATAGTGCTCATCTAGTTATTTTCTCCATATTTTACGGCTTCAAGTTAATGAGGGAGAACTTTACTTTAAAGGGGCCCCGCAACCTTTTTCTGAGTAGCGATCAAGTGGATTCACTAAAGGAGCCTATTGCATCACGAATGTACCACCGTTTTTAGAGTTCGTCCAGTACAAGCCCAGTTAGAAAAAATTTGTCACGCGCTGCAATTGCATTCTCTTCTCTCGTCTTGACGAAAGCGCTGGAAGCGAAACAGGTAGGGTTGGAACAGGGAAAGAAAATGCATCATGTGGCCTGATGGCCTTGAGCACTACTATCTCTTTGTCTTTTTTTTTTATTGCACAGTTCTTTAGTTTGATCACGCACGCATAAGTGGACAAGTCGTTGCCTCCTGTGGCAGCCCTAGTAACGACCGAGTGCGCCATGCTCAAATCAGCCAATGACTGATACTTGGCCTGGAACGTAGTGATTTTCAGCTTCTAGCGTCATTTGTCGAGAGAAGAGAAAGCGATTTTTAGCCGACTTTTAGCCGAAAATTTACTGTAAATTCTAGGTCATGTGCTGCGCGATAATATTCCGCACATGCGTTCTCAGTAGCTTTTACTACCAATCGGCAGCGTTCTCTGACCATGCTAGAAAAGTGTTGCAGGACTTTTTTAATACCGGTGTCGCACAGGCGTTTGGAAGGCCTTACAGCCAATAGTCTACTACTCAGTGGTCAAGTGCTAGTTGATTCACGAGCAGTTCTGGAAGCCGTCAAGTCGATAAGCTATTTAATCATCACATTATCCTGCTACTCTATCAAAACTTAGATGGTTGTCAAGCAACGAAATCATCACAGCATCTTGCAACTGTATCAAAACTTAGATGGCCGCCAAGCAACAAAATCGAAAGCTGGTAGTGCAAATTTGTGGTTTCATTCACAGTGTGCTAATGCTCACAATTAGATGGAAGGAACCTAACCATTATCCCTGTAAGTTTAAAGCAGTATATTTCAGCATTATAAACGATTTAGTGACATGCTCTTGCTTTTGAAATGTGTGAAGTGCACATACTATTGGCAATAGCAACGTGCTCGTCTTTATTGCACTGTCTTGTCATGTCTTGCTTGCTACAGTTTCACTGCTCAACAATGTAAAACTTAATATGTATTTATAACTACGAGTAAACAATTTATTGAAGTTTTTCTGCAAAGAAAGCAGACATGTTTGTGCTTTCAAATCAATTTATATTATTTAGCTTGCAGCGGAAAAAAAAGGCAAAAATGAAGATCTGCTGCTCCACATTTTTTGAAAGAAACGCTTGAATCTTTCAATGGCAGTACAGGCCTGCCATGTAACAGCTTATAACTCAGTTGAGTTGATAGTGTTGGGGTGTTTTGATGGCCAATGACTCAATGGCCTATGACTGCCTGTGTGACACAGGTTCTTCCATATTTTTGCCATGGCATGCTGAGGATCCCATTGAAAAAAAAAAAAAGGCTGCTAGAAAAGGTCTAGAAAAGAAAAAGAGAAAAGTGTCTTTCACAGTGGTTAACAGAGCACCATTCTTCATCATTTTTTTTTAAATTCGTTTGTGCATGGCTGCAGGTACATGATGCTCATAGACGGGGAAAACGAAGTCTACTTCATTGACCGGGACAACTGTGTTTTTCAAGTATCAGGCCTGTGCTTCCCCAAGCGCAAGGACCGCTCCCAACACATCCAGGAGACGCTAGTGGATGGGGTGAGTGGGCTCGAGTAGTGCCTTCAATTTAACTGAAAGAATTGCAGTCGGTGGTTTGCCCCTTTTTGACTGTAGGTAGCTCTAAAACTATCATGGATGTGTCTTGAGCACGGAGCAAGGATGCCTATTGAGCAGGTACAACTCCTGTCAAAACGGGCATGTGCTGAGGACCAGATAATGTCCCAAAGGTAGTATGCGCCAATGCACATGCAGCGTCGGCAAGTTTTGGCAGCCTCAGCCAAAAAAGATGCGGATGGCTAGTTTCAGCCGTGGCACGTGGCCCACGCAGGAACAACACTCACTACTGATTTCCTTGACAATCAAAACAGCACCATTTTTTTTGTCAGCCACCAGATATTGCTACCATGAAAGTGCGACGTTATCTGGTTGTCACAAATAGCCGAGTTTCAGCTCCTAAACATTTCTTTCTCTGTGACTTTGAAATATCGAGAGGGGTAGTCTGGGTATGAAGTTGCTATTTTCAATGCAACCATTACACATGCCATGTGCTCATCGCAGCAGCTTTGCAGGGGAGTGTAGCCCTGCTTAGTTTCAGAATGCGGGATCACCTATGTGTGTTGTCGCAAGGTCCTGCGTGGGGTGGTTGAAAGTTCAACCACCGACCAAAAGGCTAGAAAACAGCCATGTAACAAGTGCACAAGTAAAGCTGCCAGACGAAAGCAAGTACCAGGTAATGATGATGGTGATAGGGCTGTCGCACATTTGCATAGGGCGTGCAGATAAACATGTGTGGGCATTCTGATCACGATGTTAGTGGCAGGTAAGGAGCTGGACATTATTCTCAGAACCGTGAGTGACCTTTCAATATCGCTATTCGTTACTTTAAAGATCTGTGTAGATATAAGGGGCATAAAATTCAATACGTTATTCTGAAGCATTCGGTATAGTGAAATTTTTAGTAGTGAAAAAATATTTTTTTACATTCAATCAATAAACATTTGGAGGTTTTTGAAAAGTCGTTAATCTGGGGTTTGCTATAATGAGATTTGACTGTAGTGCATAGCTCTGCTACATACTCTAATGAGGTTTTACTGTACAAGTACCGCAATGTCTGATCACTTTACTGACAGGCATTAAGAGCTATTTGGGATGTGGTTGCGTTAGTGTGGCCACTTTGGGGAAAGGACAGTGCATGCATTTCCTGTTTTAGGACTACTGGGAGTTTCGGTCGCCGATGTAGTCCACAAAGGAGTTCTAAAAATGATGCCGACAGTGCTTATTATAGGTTACGGTTCCTGTCAAGATTGTATGAAGATTTCGCATTACAAGCAGGCTATGGCTGTGTGTGAAAATATAGAAGGCTGCTGTTAGGGCTGTGGTGTAGTGTTGATCGTCTTGCTTCTGCTGCTGCTGCAGGAGATGATTATTGACAAGGACAATGGAAGGGATGTGCCTCGCTACCTGATCTACGACATCATCCGTTTCCAGGTGTGTGCATCGAATGTGCCAGCGGTGTCCTTGGTCTTCTTAAATTTCCCGAAGGCTAAGAGAACACAGTGCAGTGCTGTTTTTGTTCCTTCTCAGCGAAATTATAAATTTCGAAAAATGTTTGCAGAGAACTCGGGGTTTAGTTGGAGCTGTGAAAATAGCAAAATTTTTATTGTGAAGACAATTCGAATATTGAAGTGTGGGTGTGAATCGAGTACCTTTAGAAAATTTCTCGAATATTTTTCGAATTCTTTGAAGCGAAATTGAAGTAAAAAGAAGTTAGAAAGAATTCCTAAGGACATTCTTATGACATTCTTAGGCACAGTTTGTAGTTTTAGTTTGCTGTTTTCTACACCAACCTTTACATTATTTTTGCCTGTTCAGGGTGAGGAAGTTATGGGGGTGGATTTCTGTCGGCGGTTAACATGCATCTCCCACGAGCTGTACGAGCCACGCAAGGCAGCCATGCAAGAAGGCCGCATCAAGAGGGAAAGCGAGCCCTTTGGTGTGCGACAGAAGCAGTTTTGGGATGCCTCCTTAACGTACAAGGTGAGTATGTCGTGAGACAATGTTTTGGACTTGCAGTGTGACCAGAGCAGCAGCATAGACCACTTATAAACTAAGTTGCCAGAGTCTCACATATCCACTCTATCAGCAGCACCGCGCTATAACTAAAAGAACATTTTTGAAGAGCTGCACGTGTGCAAAACAGGACCAAGAGACAGCCACGTGATTCTCATTATCGGGGCATGTGACTGAAGTGCAAGTTTGAATCCGCTTAAATAATGTTGAATGGTTAGCATCTCTGGACTGGCTGTGTTGTTGTAACAAATGATTTAAAAAAATGCATCGAAACGGAAGGTTGCTAACTAACTTTACGGACCTCCTCGTTTATTAGGACTTCCCAGGGATACCACACTGCGCAGAAACTATATATCAAATGGCATTTTAAATTTCTGCATGCTTTCGATATTCCGGGCGTCTGCACAGTGTTGGAAACAGTGGCAAACACAAACAGCTACATGAGTGTTGCGCTGTCATTTTCGTCGCCCCTTCTACATGCAACAAATGTGAAATAATTTGTTGACTCGGCGCCAAACTGCAACTTTCATAGTCCGCAGCCACTACCAACGATCCAGCTAGCATTTGTTAGGCCGAGACACTTGCCCCAAAAAACACTGAGATCGAGCGTAGAAAAAATAGCACTCAGAAGTTAAATCGATGGCAGCACTTGTGAGACAAAGTTTTGGTTCATGGTCTGGAGAATAGCTACCATAACTATTCTGCAAAAATCTTGCATGCATGCAAGACCGCCTGTTGCTAGTCAAAAGGCGAAAATCTCGATCCGGTCTCGAAGCATCGTCACAGGCCAGGAATCAAATTTTCACATGGGAGGTGTGCGCAATACAACGAAGCAAGTAATTTCCGGATAGAAGACCGAAGAGACAAATAGCGGTGGACGCAGGCGCCCATTCGTGGCAGGGCGTGCATGATAGGGGGCGTAAGCAAAGGTAGAAAAGGGGACAAAAGCTCACCTGCACTTTGTGAAACGGTTCGTGGAAATGCTACACTTTATTATTCGTTTCATGAGCTCATCATGGTGGTAGTGGCACCACAATGTACATTTCAAAAAATTGCAGCCGTCCTGCAAGACTAGTTTACGAATTCTCTGCACCTACTTGTGAGGTAGTACAGAGTCGGCGCAGCACAAATTAGCTGTAGCCGCAGCAGATGACACACAATTTTTTTCTTTATTTATTTAATACCCACAGCACCCATGCAAGCATTACAGCAAAGAGGGAGGGAGAAGTGCAGGAAAAAAAAAAGTGAAAATTGTAGGTTCACCCTATTGCATTCATGTCTATTTTAGCGGCGACAGTGAACGTTTTCTGGTAGTTGCACAAGTCAAGCAACGTAAGCGATGCTATCTTTTACCAGTCAAGGCCTCCACAATCTGGGATATTGCCGACCCTATGATAGAGCGTGCACGATATCTGCACTCTCGTATATGTTCAGCGTCTGATTGCTGCTGCTGCTCTTGAAAGAACCCCTGCGCGAGGATGGCACCACAATGTTCAGGAAGTGCAGGGTCAATCGAATGAACCTGCCCTATCTCCATCTTCCGGCTGCGAACGCGAACTTCGTATCACGCACACTGTTCTTGGTTCAGTGCTTGAGTGCGATGTATTTGATGCCGGATCTCCACTTCTTGCACAAACTTTCCACGACAATATACCGCACGGCAGGCAAGGCCTAATTGGCATTGGAGGCATGTCAGTAGCATGCTATTTATAAGTTGGGCATTCACAGCGTTGCTCTCTTTCAATGGATTAAACACGAAGCGCAACGCTGCGAGTTTATCAGGTGCACATTTTGGGCCATAATGAGGCTGCGAGTGGGAAATAGGCACTCTACAAGCGAGTATCGTAGCACATTTGCTCTTAATCAGCACCAAAGTTTCGCTTTTTAGCTCATTTATCTTATCGCAGCGGCACTGCCATTCGGCGCATTCGACATTGGCACACGCGGCTCGCCTCTCTCTCGGCGTCGTCATTTGCGCACGCGCAAGCTGCCGAAGTTTTCTAAAATTAACTAGTGGGGACACAGGCGTTGCGATCATTCAGCGACCATAGGAATTACGGGTATGGCATGGATTTGCCTAGTCTTCGTGGTTGCGGGCTGCGAACGCATTTGTGGCTTCGTTTATTGCTGTGTTTTGGTTTTGTTTCAATAACAAGAACAAATAGTTTGTTACTTCGTCAACCCATTTGAAGGGGTAAGCCTAAAATATTAAAGTGGTGAAGCGTAACTGCTGAACATTTGCCGATTGTTGTTTCGTGGCAAAGCAGCTTCAAGCCACGCAAAGCGAGAAGGAACGTAAAGTACGAAGACTAGGCAAATCTATGTGATACCCATAATTTCCACGCTCGCTGAAGTGCCATGCATTGTAGCTTTCATAGACACTAGCGCCAGAGTTCCACCAAGAGGAGTCTTCTGCTCTTCGCAGTTTCCGGCTTCACGAACTATGACGTAATGGCCTCTCCTCGCAATGTGTGTTCTCTGGCAATGCTCCTCAGTAGTATATTCGTAATTTTCTCCATGCCTCGACCTGTAGGGGCGTGTTTGCTGACGGGCTGGTGGGCCTAAATGGAGACAGGGTGTCTACCAACCTGGAAAACCTGGAAAACCTGGAAAAGTCAGGGAATTTGAACACGCCTGGAAAAGTCAGGGAAAAGTCAGGGAATTTCTGAAAAATCCGGCCAGGTCATGGAAACTGACTGTAGTCTTTCAGATTGTCACGAAAATATTCATTAGCATTAATCAAAGCTTTAAAAATCGCTCCTTAAACCACACAGAACAGCTAAGCAGAAGCATAGTTAAAAAAAAAGCAGTGCATAGCTGGCGCTTCTACTTTCCGAGTACAACGTTACTCACGCGCATAAAATTGTGCATGTTTGTCTTGGCCGCGATCTCGGCTCGGCTTGAGGGTTTTCTGGTTAGGCTGGAAGTGCCATCAGCAGAGGGCAAGGTGCACAAAATATGCGAGTCGTAATTATTTTTTTACTGAAATGTGTAGTTTACAGGTGCGTAAATTGGACTGGGATACAAAAACAGTAGTAGAGGAAATATGGTAATCCAGATCGGATCCAATCCAATCCGATCCACATATCAAGATGCCTGGGCTGCAGCCATATTGCCATTCTTCTTGTGATGCCGTGAGCATGCAGCGAGTTGCTATGCCTCTTGCGAAGAAGTGTTCGTTTAACCCTGATTGGGTGAACGCGGAAATATCCGAGCACGCCTCATGGATTAGAGCAGTGCCGAACGATATAGTTGCCAAGTTCTTCATTAACAACATAGTCCTCAGACATGGTGCACCCAGCGTGGTAATTACAGATCGTGGCCCAGCTTTTACTGCAGACCTAATGAAATGTCTGATGCGAATGACCCACACAGACCAGAGAAGAACTACAGCATACCATTCTCAAACAAATGGCCTAACGGAGCGCTTGAACAGAACTCTGACTGATATGCTTTCAATGTATATTGACGTCGAACATAAACTGTGGGATGAAATATTGCCCTACATCACGTTCGCATATAATACAGCCGTTCAAGAAACAACGCGAGTGACACCATTTGAACTTGTATTCGGCCGAAGAGTCACCACTCCACTGGATGCCATGTTACCACTGAATGATGAAAGCAGCAATCCACCTGGCCTAGACGACTTCCTGCAAAGAGCCGAGGAAGCACGACAGATGGCGAGATACAGAATACGCCGCCAACAACGTATCGACTCCTATCGGTACAATCAGCGTCGTACCGAAGCGCATTTTCAACCAGGTGACAAAGTATGGATATGGACCCCAGTGCGTCGCCGCGGACTTTCTGAAAAACTTTTTAGCCACTGCTTCGGGCCTTACGAAGTACTCCATCGTGTAAGCGATGTAACTTACCAAGTCAGATCCGCTATACACGGGAGCTCAAAACGCCGCAACCCTACAGAGGTTGTGCATGTAGTCCGGATGAAGCCGTACTATGAGAGATCACCGGAAGACCAGTGACGCCTACGCCTACCACGAATCTATTCATTGCCTGACGCATCGGGACGATGCGTGTGAGGAGGGGGATTATGCCACGACATAGTGCCTGCATTCAAACAACGCGCCCATCACCACGCGCACAGAGACATACATGGGCGCCGTCTAGTGTTGCGCAGAGACGATGATGATAGCACGAGAACCCAGCTGGCCCCTGCTGATGTGTGCCACGCGCTTGGGACTCTTCTTGAAGAAGTAGAAGAAGAAGACATCTTGCCGTTCTGCTGTAACGTGCTACGACCATAGTCCCTTTGAGTTGTGGGCACAGGTTCGCCCTTTAATAAATACGTTTTATTATACCCCGAGTCCTTCAACATCGTTACAATATAAGTAAGGCTCACTGTGCAGCATGCCAGAAGACTTTCTCGCTTAGCAATATGGGCATCGCTGCTGTCTCCAGTCACGCTGTGAGCAAGAAACACCTAACTGCTGTGAGCATTGTGCAAAGTGCTTCCCAGACACACATCCGCGCGTTTTTCGGTGCTGGACACAACTTGCCGTGTTCCATGACTGCTACGACTACGAGTGAATGTGTATCGACTGTGCCAAGCACGAGTGCTGAAAGCGTGCCTGCTAAACCGGTGGCCGTCGCGCCTGACGGGAAGGCATCCTTGAATGGGTTTCTGGTCAAAAAATGTGTCACGAAAGCAGAAGTTGTTTAGTGTCTGAACACTATAGCGACCCATGGATCGTTTCGTTCAGCAGCAGCGTCAGCGGCGCTTTTTCCCATCATGTTCCCCACGTGCGACGTCGCGAAGAAGTTGCAACTTGGTAAGGACAAAGTTGGCTATACAATTTGTTACGGTATAGCCCCGTACTTCCGAAACAGGCTGCTATCAAAGCTGCATAGTGTCCCACACGTGGTCGTGGCTTTTGACGAGTCCCTGAACAAAATTGCTCAGAAAGAGCAAATGGACGTTTTGATCAGGTTTTGGGACCCAGCTG